GACACACATTTTCATATAGCCCAATGATCCTTGTAATTTTACTTTACTTCGATAACCGTAAATGTTACTATGTGTGATGGACTACTTATCAAACTTTCTCTTATGAAAAACCACACACTTTTCTTCGTCAATTCATCTAAACTTTTCAACTTTTTGAAATACTTGTTCATATACTCGTATTTATTTTTATTTTTTATTGTCTTTGATCATTTTTTTTTTAAATTTATTATTTTCTTCAACTTGTGTTGAAGATATTAATATCTATGAAAACAACTAACAATAAAATTTCGATAAACATCTCGAGTCACATTTATGTATAACATTTTAAAAAATCATGTTTCAGTATCAATTTGTTGGTTAAATTGATTTTAAAAATTAATCTCATGTATATATTGTCTTAAATATCGTGGCGTATCATAATTTGATTATTATTTACCTTAACTAGTAATTATAAGAAAGATGAAATTCTATGTGAATACTTATATAAACAAATATTTTTCTTACATTTTAAAACATCAATATTATGTATTAATAACAGTTTTATTTTGTTTGGTATTACAAAACTATTAGTTTTTTTTTTTTTTTTTATATGGATTTAAATTTAATAAAAATGTTTAATATTTATTTAATATTTAACTTTTTCTTTTTTTTTTAAAGTAAAATTTTATAAAATATAAAACAATACAAAAGTTATATTTGACATAACAAGATTAAACCAATGAATTTGTTCGATGACGTAATTTTGTGAAAATACTGAATCTGTTGACCGTGATGAGGCATAACGTTAGACCAATGATCTGTGGGAAATGTATTGTTTGGCCAAGTGTAAAATGTATGTTATATATACGGTTCAATTCATGAACTAAGAAGTGACTTAATCGAGTGGAAAATTAGCAAAATGCATTTGTTGATAAAAAAAGACAGTAATATTATGTTAGGATTCGTTTCAATCTCGATAATAATTTTATTGTTATCTTTTTTTTTTGTATTGTTTAGTTATTGATGCGTTTTATTTAAATTTAAAGTGGTATTAATGTAATTACTGTCACATTGTTTTTCGTTTCGTATTATATTATAAAAGTAAATATTATCACTTATTTAATAATTAAGTTTTATTTCGCAAGTATATTTGAATTACGATAACACTAACATAATAGCACCCTTATCTTTCGGCACCAATATTTGAAAATATTAAGGAATATAACGTAGAATCTCCCTTTATTTTGGCATCAGCAATTAGAATAGAATCAAAAAGTATTATTTTATAAATATTTTTGATGAATTACCGAGGAGGTAGTGTTTATAGAAGGGGATGCGAAAATAAAATAAAATAACTGATCGATTGGTTGACAGCATATTAAATGTATTTTTTTCACCCACTGTTGAAAGCTTGCTATAAGGAAGGGTATGTCTTGTACATGAGTCCGATGTGGGGATTTTCCGTTTCGCTCGATAGCCTTTTAAAAATTCTGTCAGGACCCATCCACTTGTTTGCTCTTGACGATCATCAAGGGTAGATAGAGGAAGATAGAAAGGGAGAAAAAGGAGGAAGAAAGAGCGAGACAGTAAAATAGAGAGAGGGAGTGATAGTTTTTTCCATGGATTTTCCGTCAGCTTAAATTTTTGTCCTTTCAGTTGGAAGTCGTTTATCTTGCCAGACGTCCAAAACAATCGACAGTGCGCTGTGATTGTTATTATTATTATTGATATCGCTTTTACGCCAAATATCACAGTTTTCGTTCACCTTGTTAACACTCTATGTCGAGTGATTATAGTTTGGTAGAAAAACGTTGAAATGGGTTTTAAATCTGTTATGTAAAACCGTAAGATGTTCGTATACTTAAAATATAATGTATTTCTGTGTATAGAAAGTAATTTTTTCGCATTTCATAGAAAATTACAATTTAAGAACAACAAATTTTAAGTATTTTTCTTTTGTTATAGGAATTTAAATACCTATTCACATTTAATAGTTTCATGTAAATACAAATATTTAAAACAGAAAAATTAGTCATTGTGATAATTGCATTTAACTATAACTATCTTAATAGTGTTATTTTATATTGATAATTTAAAAGGCTTCGATAATTTGGCATTAAGTTGAATTAAGTTAATATTTTATTTGATTTATTTTAAACGAAATGTATAGAAATTATGCAAAGTTGCCTGAATCGATTGAATGCATAATTGAATTGTATTGCTAAGTATGAGTTTGCAATCCAATAAAATTTGAATAAAAATTATCTTTGAAAACTTTCTTGTATTTTTTATTAATTGATCGGAAAAAAAAATGATCTATTCAATTTATTAAACATGTTGACGTTACCATTATTATTTCATCTTTATGAAAATATTAGTTTTTATTTTCAATGTTGTCAATAAACATTACTTTTCCAGCTTAACAAATGTTTATGTTAATATAACGATTAATATTTCAAGTAACTTGAAATATAAAAGTAATAAACATATATCATATATTTTATATTTTTAATTTAATAATCACCTTTACTTCATTTTTATGTTTTCAAATACACAAAAGAAATAATATTAACAAATGGTTTATTATATATAAAAATTATATATATTATGCAAAAATATAACATTCTTGAGTTAGTTTTTGTCGTGTTACGTTATAGTAAAATGAGAGGAGAGGGCAAATCATGTATCAGTTTTATTTCAGCTTATATACTTTGTAAAAACACATTTTCCAATTTATATGTATAAAATATAAAATAAAAATTAACAAGTATGAGTTGCAATACATGTATCGAAAGAAATTTAAATAAAAATATAAATTATGATATTGAACTTTCGTCTCGCCGTTAATCAATTTTTTATCATTATTTTAATTTGAAAGAAATTTTAAATGAGAAATATGATTTTCAACCATTTTTAATTTTTATATGTGAGATAATTTACACATTTATAAACTAAAATTGGAAACTTAGATTATCAAGATATTATGGGGTTGTAAAAAAAAACATTGTAGAATAATTTGTATCTAGTATTGTGCACTTTGATATAACTACGTCCATGAACACAATTTAAATATATCTATAGATCAACATTGAAATAGTCTTTTATATAATTATATACTTGTATAAAATAATATATCAAAGATTGGAAAATTAGTGATTTAAAAATTATGAAGCGAATCTAGTGCAAAAAATTTCAAATTTCAAAATTATAATAGAAGATTCTTAGCGTTAATTAATCATCCCTAATTTTTCTGTGAAAATATAATTTTTAGAATACCATCTATGTCTCATTTTTAATATTTGAATGTAGGAAGATTGTATAAGACGTAAATAAATAAGTAATATTAAGGTATTACATTAAAAATAAGAATTAGAAAATAAGACAATACTCATTGGATTTCTTAAGACCTGAAATTACTTTATCATTCTAAGAAATAAATTAAAATTTTCCTAAACATTAATAACTATAGAACTTAAATATATGCTTTCCAGTATATGTATTGCCCATTATTTGAAAATAATTGTTGTATGTTTTATACATGATAAGAAATTATATTTATTAATTTAATTTATATTTTGTATTTAATTGTTTTGAATATGCCTATTTATTGTTTTTATTTTTTTGTCGCTTAATTAAATAATTGATAATTGCCGTAATTGTAGAGAAATTAATTTTATTCACCTTAAAAGTAAAATAGTAAAATAATAAAAAAAAAAAAAAATAATAATCAACTAATAAAAAATAATAAGTAAAATGTTTATCAAGTAATGTTAAAAATCGAATTGAGTTAGTGTAATTTTGTTGATTTTATATTTGTATTTAGTGCATTCATTTTATCTTGATGTTTGAGACATATTTACTGCAATTTATGGCATTTTTAAGTATTGATAAAGTTTATGGCTGAATGTATATATTTTTTTTATTCTTTGGTAATCTAGGAAAAATTTTATTTTGAAGAATATGCTGATAATAATCAATTAGATATAATTAAATGTATATGTTTACAAGGCTTTAACCAGAAAAATATTTTGGGGGAGGGAAATTAAAGTATGAATATATTTTTTTACTATGAAATTTTAAAAATTCAAATGTAGTCATTTAAAATTATTCAACTATATTTTGAAAAAAAAACATTTCTGGGGTCTGAACTCTAAAACTCTCCTGTTAACGGCTTTGTATGTATATGTGACACGAATAATTTATGTCCATTGAACACACGTGTAATTAAATGGTAAAATATTTTTCAATGCCATTCAAATAGTTTATCCCTGTTATAAATAAATAAGTTTTAATTATAACGTAACCGGTGCATACTTACAAATTATATTTGAGGGGTTTCGTGTACGAAGCCAATATATCCAATATTGAAGTGCTACAAATGCACATTTTGAGTTCACCATTTGTTAGCGATATTTGACAAATGTTAGAAGAAAAAAAATATAAATATTAAATTTTAAGTAGATAGGTGTATGTACTCTAAAAAATTTCTATGTATTAAAATAAAATATTGAAAAAGTTTAAATATATTTGACGTGCTTGAAAATTTTACTATCCATATTATGCATGTTAACTCTGATCGAATAACAACCCAAATCTTTTGTAATTCAAATGATGTTTTTATTTTGTATTTACTGTGTACACATAGTACGTCCCCTTGTTCCAGTATAATAAGTGGATTCTCGTTTTTCCATCCTACTTAATCATAATATTGTGCTAAACACGACGCCGAATTCAGAATGTATTTTCAAAACGTAATAGTATACACTTAATTCAATTGTCATGTGAATCCAAACGTTTATCCTCTGTAGCGGACTCCTCCCGAAAAAGGTCATTTTCCTACGGGTTTCCAAAGGAACACTAGCTGGCTGTATTGCGATGTTCGCGCGCGCACACTTTTTCCCTAATAGCGTTACTCCCCCTATTTCACAGAAACATTTTAATCCACTTTGCTGATTAACGGCGCGCGCGCGATAATTGTTATCTTAAATTTATTAACGATTTTATTTTATATTATTTTTCAGGTAATATATTATACCAACATAATTAAACGACAGAATTGTGAGTACACTTGTTGTGACTATTATGCGATTCTTCTTCCAAAATATATTAATTAGCGCAACGTCAAGTGATTCGTGCGTGCATGTATTATACCGATATACTCAAAATTATAATAAATCTGTTACGTTTTTGAATGATTACCATGGTGTTTCAAATAATCAATACCAATATTTACACTACGGTAAATAATTCCCTTTGGTTGAATTATCAAGTTTTATTATTGTACAATACCATACTTTTTAACATGTGACTTATTTATTTCGCTGGCTTTTTAATTTAATTAAATTGTTCTTATATGTATTTTATTAGTATTGTTGTTATTTTTATAATTATTTACCCATTAATACCATTGTTATTTTCTTTTATGTAATTGCTTTGCTATAATGTGAGAACAAGGACAAATTAAAAAAAAAAACATGTAACTTATCAGTATTCATTTATCGTGTAAAAATTGAAAATTTTACTACCTATAATCGTACCATGTTTACGATTAATTAAGTCGTTAATTTGTTTTATAAAAAATAATGTAGATCATTATTATTATATTTACATATTAGATAGTTGTTTATCGGCACTGACATTGTACTTCTCATTGTTGTACTTACTTTCGTAGTTCTTATGAAAACGGAACTGTTGTGTTTCACCAATTTCACTAATTTTCCAGTTGTTGTTTAATTTGATTTAATTTACAGCCCCAGAAGTGTAATGTTCATGACGTACATGAGGGTCTGCAGTCCTAATAAGATTTAATGTTAATCTCTATCATGGTCGCTATAATTCCTATAATAATTCATTGTACACTTCAACGATTCGAAAACTTGGGAAATTTCACTTTAAGCTTCCGTTTATCGAATGGGATAAATTCATCAGGGGAAATTTTTTGTTGTGGAAGTAATAGAAGTGCTCAAACGCTTACTGATTTACATTTTACGGATTTATTGAATTTGGTGGTTCAAGTTCGATAGCATACTACGTTAACTTATGTACATGAGTGTCGGAGTACATAACTAGTTTCGACTAATTCAGAATAAGCAAACTGCATGTACACAAAAGCCGCTTTTTATAAGCATTAATGTTAATTAAATGTACGCTGTTGCGGAGAACTATAGTTAACAATACATAGTGAATAGCATACCCTGAGATTAAACCCTTTTAAACTATAAAGCTCTTTATACATATAATTTAGTATATTTTGAGTTGTTTGATCATACCGGTTAAATGTATTTTTGGAGAAACGACTTGACTTATTTTACACAAAAAACAATATATATATATATATATATATATTTGCACGTTCATAAAGTATTATTCTGATGAATTTAATGAATTATTTATGGATACAAATAATATATTTGTTTGTATCATTAAAAACAGTGTTTCCATTGAACGAAAAAGAGGTAGTACAAGTACGAGTTTTATTAGTAGTAATTAAAGACCGGATTTATATTTTCTCAAAATACCATAAATATGATGCTAATATTCTTTAAAAAACTTTCTAATATTCTTATTATATTCTCTTAAAAATCTTAAAAATATGTACAAATATTTGAAATTATTCAAAAATAATCTTTATAATATATGGTTTAATATGCATTTTTAAAAAAAATTTTTTTATATACAACATTCTTTTAATCATGAGGTATATACGTAGTTGCGTATTATAATATAATACTATTGTACTTCAGTAAGAGTAGGAATATAGTAAAAATATTACAGTATAGTCTATAGCAGGGGTCGTCAACATTTTCAAACAAGTGAGCTACATTTGACATTTAAGTCCCTGGTGATTGACATCCAGGAAAATTTAGGTCTTTAATCTTTAAATCTAATATTCCCATTATCCAATTAATCTGATAATTTTACGCGATCGACTGATTGGCGATCCCTGGTCTACAGTATTAAAATTTAAAAACAATATTCCTTTGGTATATTTTAATTAAATATTGTATTAACACTATTTTCACAATATTAAAAATAACAAATAATCATATATATATATATATATGATATATATTTATATATATTAAAATATAGTAAAACAAAAAAAAAATTGGTTAAAAAAAGGTAATCCTTAAATAATAATAATTTAATACAAGATATAAAATAACAATATAGGTACATATATATATATATATATAAAAACAATATTTCTTGGGTGCATACAATGGTAAATATTTACTGTTTGAATAATAAAAAAGAAACTTGAAGTACTATTTAAATTTTATTATACGAATTAATAATAATAATATATTTTACATATTATCTGTACTCATGTTAGTTCTTCTATCACTTAAAATTTGTTTATAGAGACTAAATGAACGTTCAATATCAACAGATATTAAAGGTGCAAACTTTATGTCAATAACTATATTAGGTGTAAAATATTCTGGGAGATCTTCATAGTTTCCACATAAAATGTTCCCAACTTTTGCTAACATTTGGTAACCTTTTTTTTTTTTTAACATAATTGAGATACTGTAGTATTTTTATTATGTTACCTGTTTCACTAGGTATATTGGTTAGTTTGCAGATAACAGTTTGTATAATCACCAACTATGAAAAAAAAATCAAATATTCTAAAATATGCTAAATGGGCTAAATATTCTCTAACCTATGATGTATTCTCAAATATGCAAAAAAAAACTTTTTTCTACAAACTCAGAATCGAATGAATCGTCCATATTTTTTACTCTCAAACAACAGCATATACCAAGTAACGATATGTAAAAACATATAAATCTGGTCTTTAGTAATAATCATTCCAAAAACTGAAAATTATGTAACATACAAATTTATAAAAATTGTATATTTGAATAAATATAATAATATAAATATTATAACAAATAAAGTATAATTGAATATTATTTTAGTGTTAAAGATATTTTTATGAGAAAATATCATTAAAGTGTGAATGATAATTTTTAAATTTGACTCTTAATAGCATCACATTTATTTATGTGGATTGGAGAATCTTTTAATAATCACCAAGATTTCCTGCATTATAATTAAGTCAAAGAAATGCCGATAATAAATGTTTTTGAGAGTTCTGATATATATACATATATATATATATATCAATATTTTAACTGTCTATTATATAATTAATGTTGAATAAAATATTATATTACTATTTGAATTTCTTGGACTTGAAGATGTTTTACTTTTTTATATAAGATCAATTATTAATTCTAAACCTAAAAATTGTAGATTAAAAAAAGTTAAGTATGTAATCTCATGTGTTCTAATGATATTTATTTTCATTTACTTGTACTATATAAATTTACAAACACATTAATTGATAGTTATTAATATTAGCATATTAAACAACATGAATTTGTTCTAGATAATTTAAAAATACAAATTTCATAAAATTCATTTTTATCGCCCATTTACAGTATTAGAAGAACTATAATACATTTCTAGTTAAATTTTTCTTTTTTGAGATGTATAAGATTGGTATTTAAATTATATATAAATATAAAAGATTATTAACACGTGATAATTACAGGGAAGTTTAAGTATTATTACATCTAAGTATGATACGAGCTAAAGGACCTTTTTTAAAAGAAACTTTAAAATATTAATTTCCTTTCAAAATATCTTTAATTGTATACAATATTGTACAAAAATTAAAGGATTTTTTATAAAAACTTCATTCCTTAGGTTTCGTATAATACTTAGATGTCAACAACTATTTGAATAGGTATAAATATATTTTTGAAACCCAACACTATAAAAATGTAGTTGCTAGCAGCTAGATACTAACCGCAGCAACAAGCAGAAATTCAGAGTGGTGAAATCGCGTGCGTGGCTGAATGCAATCCGACCCGCAGATGTGTATGGAAACGGGATCGGGTTATGCTGCGGGGGGTGGTAAAGTGACACCGCAAGGGGTAGAGTGCCCCTTTAGACCATTACTGGGGTTTGTACAAAAATATCGAGGAGGTTTAATGTATTGTGGCCACGTGTAAGCACTAAAAATGTTTTCTTTTGCTTTGCGGATATTCTTTATTTTATACTACCATCTAGTTTCTCCTTCCATGAGCAATGGTCAATGATGGGAAACATGCGTCTCCCGGGTGGACAAAAACTGATCACAGTTTGTGTTAGACACGAAAAACGGAAGTGTTCATTTCCTCTGGAAATGGGCTGGAAAATAAAATTTACAAACTTTGAATACGGTTGATGACTATCGACAAATCCTCAACAGGGACCTCACTATAATTCGATATTATTTGTAATTGATTACCTTGTACATTAGTAGCATTTTTATTGTGCTTGTGTTCGGGCATCGTACATGTAATGTATTTGCTAACTACGTTTTTTATTGTAGTAATAATATACTGTTGTTGTGAATTCGGTGACTCGACGTGTTCACAATACACGACATAGATGCATAAAATGTACAGGGAACCATTTTATTTGACCACTGTATTTACTTAGGTGATTGAAATTTAAAACAATTTAAATTGTATAAAGTTTGAACTGAAAAGCTCTTTGAGTTAATCAGGATTCATCAAAAAACCGTAATACTCAATAATTATCTTATTCATGCCTTACAAAATTTTGAAATATCAATGTATTATGGTATGTATCTAAAAATACACAAAGAGGAGAAAATGATACTGAAGGGGTGAACTCTTTTACGAGCTTGGCCGTTTTAAGCGTTTAAGCTTTTAGTGGAATTGTTTCCTCGCCCCTATAACTTATTGTTAATCTAATAACATAATCCTCTCGATATATGCTTATATAAATCCGATGACATCTACAACATTTACGCATAATTTGAATACAGAAATGGTGTTTGATTTTCTCTTTATTTATTTTTTTTATAATTTTAACAATATTAATATTCATTGAAACATATTATGGCGCCATGGGGTGATGAAAATGGAAACGGATGTGTAACCCTTAGTCTTTTCACTTAATTTATAACCTTGTATTTGCATTTTTTTTTTTTTTTTTGCTTTTTACATTTACCAAATCATTTTTCCAAACAATCGCTTTTATTGATTTTTAATTAAAAACATTTACAAAGTGAAATTTTATTGTTCATTTAAACTTTGTATTTTATTTTTGAATCTAATTCATTAAAATATGTGAGAGCGTTTCATGAAATGATATGATTATTATTTGAACTTGAATTCTGATAATCGTGTACTTTCATAGATGCAACCAGAGAGTAACGCTGAGATTTTTTCCGAAGTATAATT